AAAATTAGCAAGTTTATAACAAGGCGTAAAATGAGTTCATATTGGTTTCTGAATATTTTTCCCATAATTTTCCATTACTATACATCTCCAATACATTCTGTCAGTTGTCACAAGTCCTATTTTTAATGGAGAAGCTGCTCGTGAGAGTCAGAAGGAGGTTCGGGGGCTGTTTTGAAGTTTCGCCCCCGAAACGCCCTTTTTCGACTAAGTTTTGGGCGTATTCGGCTCTAAATCACAACCTACAGATCCGAATAACATTCCGTCAGTTGTCACAAGTCATATTTGGCATGGGGAAGCTGTTCATGTTAGCCACACGGCGGTTTAAGGGCTGTTTTCAATTTTCGCCCCCGAAACGCCGTTTTTCGATTAAGTTTTGGGCGTATTCGTCTCTAAATCCCAACCTACAGGTCCGAATAACATTCCATCAGTTGTCACAAGTCTTATTTGGCATGAGGAAGCTGTTGATCATGGCCACACAGTGGTTCGGGGGCTGTTTTCAATTTTCACCCCTGAAACGCCCTTTTTTGACTAAGTTTTGGGCATATTCGACTCTAAATCCCAACCTACAGGTCCGAATAACATTCCGTCAGTTGTCACAAGTCATATTTAGCATGGGGAAGCTGTTCGTGTCAGCCACACGGTGGTTCAAGGGCTGTTTTTAATTTTTGCCCCTCGAAACGCCCTTTTTCGACTATATTTTGGGCGTATTCATCTCTAAATCCCAACCTACGGGTCCGAATAATATTTTTTCAGTTGTCACAAGTCCTATTTGGCATGGGGAAGGTGTTCATGTTGGCCACACGGCGGTTCGGGGGACTGTTTTGAATTTTCGCCCCGAAACTTCCTTTTTCGACTAAGTTTTGGGCGTATTTGGCTCTAAATCCCAACCTACAGATCCGAATAACATTCTGTCAGTTGTCATAAGTCATATTTGGCATGGGAAAGGTGTTCGTGTCGGCCACACGGTGGTTCAAGGGCTGTTTTCAATTTTCGCTCCCGAAACGCCATTTTTCGACTAAGTTTTGGGTGTATTCGGCTCTAAATCCCAACCTACAGGTCTGAATAACATTCCGTCAGTTGTCACAAGTCTTATTTGGCACGGGGAAGGTGTTCGTGTCGGCCACGCGGTTGTTCAGGGGCTGTTTTCAATTTTCGCCCCCGAAACGCCCTTTTTTGACTAAATTTTGAACGTATTCGGCTCTAAATACCAACCTACGGGTCTGAATAACATTCCGTCAATTGTCACAAGTCCTATTTGGCATGGGAAAGCTGTTCATGTTGGCCACACGGCAGTTCAAGGGCTGTTTTCAATTTTCGCCCCCAAAACGCCCTTTTTCGACTAAATTTTGGCGTATTCGTCTCTAAAGCCCAACCTACAGGTCCGAATAACATTCCGTCAGTTGTCACAAGTCCTATTTGGCATGGGGAATCTGTTCGTGTCGGCCACATGGCGGTTCGGAGGCTGTTTTGAATTTTCGCCCCTGAAACGCCATTTTTCGACTAAGTTTAGGGCGTATTCGGCTCTAAATCCCAACCTACGGGTCCGAATAACATTCCGTCAGTTGTCACAAGTCCTATTTGGCATGGAGAAGGTGTTCATGTTGGCCACATGGTGGTTCGCAGACTGTTTTGAATTTTCACCCCTGAAACGCCCTTTTTCGACTAAGTTTTGGGCGTAGTCGTCTCAACCTACGGGTCCGAATAATATTCTGTCAGTCGTCACAAGTCCTATTTGGCATGGGGAAGGTGTTCGTGTTGGCCACATGATGGTTCGGGGGCTGTTTTGAATTTTCGCCCCTGAAACGCCCTTTTTCGACTAAGTTTTGGACGCATTCGGCTCTAAATCCCAACCTACGGATCCGAATAACATTACGTCAGTTGTCACAAGTCGTATTTGGCATGGGGAAGGTGTTCGTGTTGGCCACAGAGCGATTTAGGGGTTGTTTTCAATTTTCGCCCCTGAAACGCCCTTTTTCGACTAAGTTTTGGACGTATTCGGCTCTAAATCTCAACCTATGGGTCCGAATAACATTCCATCAGTTGTCACAAGTCCTATCTGGCATGGGAAAGGTGTTCGTGTCGACCACACGGCGGTTCAAGAGCTGTTTTCAATTTTCGCCCCCGAAATGCCCTTTTCGACTAAGTTTTGAGCATATTCGGCTCTAAATCCCAACCTACGGGTCCGAATAACATTCCGTTAGTTGTCACAAGTCCTATTTGGCATGGGGAAGGTGTTTGTGTCGACCACACGGCGGTTCAAGGGCTGTTTTCAATTTTTGCCCCCGAAACGCCCTTTTTCGACTAAATTTTGGCATATTCATCTCTAAATCCCAACCTACTATAACATTCCTTCAGTTGTCACAAGTCCTATTTCGCATGGGGAATTTGTTCGTGTCAGCCTCATGGCGGTTCGGGGGGCTGTTTTCAATTTTTACCCCCGAAACGTCCTTTTTTGACTAAGTTTAGGGCGTATTCGGCTCTAAATCCCAAGCTACGAATCCGAATAACATTCCGTTAGTTGTCACAAGTCATATTTGGCATTGGAAAGGTGTTCGTGTCAGCCACATGGCAGTTCGGGGGCTGTTTTGAATTTTCGCCCCCGAAACGCCCTTTTTCGACTAAGTTTAGGGACTATTTGGCTCTAAATCCCAACTTACGGGTCCGAATAACATTATGTCAATTGTCAGAAGTCATATTTGGCATAGGGAAGCTGTTTGTGTTGGCTACACGGCGGTTCGGGGGCTGTTTTGAATTTTTGCCCCCAAAACGCCATTTTTCGACTAAGTTATGGGCGTATTCGGCTCTAAATCCCAACCTATGGGTCCGAATTACATTCCGTCAGTGTCACAAGTCATATTTGTCATGGGGAACTGTCCGTGAGAGGTACACGGTGGTTCAGGGGTTGTTTTCAATTTTCGCACCCGAAAAGCCCTTTTTTGACTAAGTTTCGGGCGTATTCGGCTCTAACTCCCAACCTACGGGCCCGAATTACATTCTGTCAATTGTCACAAGTTATATTTGTCATGGGGAAGCTGCCCGTGAGAGGCACATGATGGTTCGGGGGCTATTTTGAATTTTTGCCCCCGAAACGCCCTTTTTCGACTAAGTTTAGGGCGTATTCGGCTCTAACTCCCAACCTATGGGCCCGAATTACATTCTGTCAGTTGTCACAAGTCATATTTATCATGGGGGAACTGTCCGTGAGAGGCACAAGCTGGTTAGGGGGTTGCTTTGAATTTTCACCCCCGAAACGGCCTTTTTCGACTAAGTTTATGGCGTATTTGGCTCTAACTCCCAACCTACGGATCTAGATTACATTCCGTCAGTTGTCACAAGTCTTATTTGTCATGGAGGAATTGTCCGCGTGAGCCATACGGTGGTTCGGGGGCTGTTTTGAATTTTCGCCCCAAAAATGCCCTTTTTCGGTTAAGTTTAAGGCATTTTTGGCTCTAACTCCCAACCTACGTGTACTAATTATATTTCTTCTATTGTCACAGGTCCTATTTGTGATGGGGAAGATGGCCATGACATCCGTACGGTGGTTTGGGGGCTGATTCGCATTTTTGCCCCCTTAACGCCCTTTTTCGATTAATTTTAATGCGTTTTCGGCTCTAACTCCCAAACTACATGTGCTAATTACATTCCATCTATTTTCACAGGTCCTATTTTTAATGGGAAAGGTGGCCGTGACATCCGTACGGTGGTTCAGGGGCTGATTCACATTTTTGCCCCGTTAACCCCCTTTTTTGGTTAAGTTTAATGCGTTTTCGGCTCTAACTCCCAAACTACGTGTGTTAATTACATTCCGTCTGTTTTCACAGGTCCTATTTGTGATGGGGAAGGTGGCCGTGACATCCGTACAGTGGTTCGGGGTCTGATTCGCATTTTTGCAACCTTAACCCCCTTTTCGGTTAGAAGAAGTAACACAAAAGTGCTGCAAAAATATGGAGGATCTCTAAAAAATAAATAAATAAAATCTTCTTTTGAAAATTGACTAACTCAAGGACTAGTTTGACAACCCAAGGAGTTAATCTTGTTGAATTACTTTAACTCCCCAACAAAAATGATTTGTAAACACACAAATCTACCCTTTTGTTTCTACATTTGCCTTTTACCTTCTATCATAATTACTCTCATGTCCTTAACAATTTCAATCAATTATATATAGACTATATATCTTACACTAATGATGAGTTAAATATAATCTTTGTTCCACCATACAGATATATGAAATACCATCCTTATATAAATAAAACTACCATTATGTTATCAAGTTGCCATTAGTTTACCTCCTTTTTGAATTAATTTTTCTTTCATCGCATTTTAATAAATATTAAGACCAGGACATTGCTTTAATGCCAAAGAATAATATTTTTGCTAAAATTTGAAGTAAAGTAATATCTGAATAACATTTTCTACTTAAATGACAAGAAATGTGTGTATTTATGGAAATAATAATACAGACTTAGTACATGGGGAGAGATCCCTTTACATCCAATGTAAAACCTCTTTAGTCTTACATTACATTGTTTCATAACTTTTTGCTAGATTCATATTTCATAAAATAAAACGGATCGTTCATGCATGCCAAATTTTAGGTTGATCAGAGATTAAAAGTTCTCTTATTATTCTCTTATTATCTAGATAGACCACCAAGTTAGAGTCATATTCTATTAAACAATACCAACATATATATAGATAGTTCATGATTTCTAATTGACCTTAATTTGGCAAACAAGATTAAAATAGGAGGAACGTGTAATCTAACGATCAATTTTATTTATTTATGTCATTTGTCTATAACACTATATCTATAAAAAATAAAAAAAATAAAAAAAGAGTAGTAATTCATGATATTTGTCTATTAATTTTAACAATATCATAACACAGTTAGCAGTAGAAAATGCACCAACATGGCAAGATAATAAGTTCCGATACTCAAAGACAGAGAATATGAACATCAACAAACAAGGAATGTAATCAAACTACTTACAGGAAATGAAAGATACAAAACAACAATCCACTCAGCCCAAGACAATGGTGTCACCTACAAGACAAAATTCAAATATTTTAATTAACAACCTCATGTAACGGGGCAAAAAAGTCAAATCATAGAAAAGAAATTGCAGTAAATAGATAGAAGTAGAAGATAAATCACTTATGGAAAAAAGAATAGACAGAGGTCGCACGTACAACATAAGAATATGAAGGAGCATGGTCAGTACAATTGAACCAACAAGCCACAAATGGAGAAAGAGACAGATTAGAATTTGAAACAAAGCTTCAAAGAGGGTCACATTCAAGAACAGAGTTACAAAACACCACTCTTTTGAATAGAAATATCATTTATTGATGCCCAATAAAATCAAATCAGTGCATTGTTGGGTGTAGGTTATGGAGTTGCTTATAGCTCTTTATTTTTTATATTTTTTTTTTTTGGAAATTCGTGTCAATGTTTGGTGCAACTTCTGCTTACAGCTTTTGCGGCAGAAATAATAAGTTGAAAAACACTAATTATTGAGAAACACGAAAAGTGGTGCTTTTAACTTCTGCTTTCTAATTATCAACTTTAACATTGCTAGAAGTTGTACCAAACAGGCTGACACAAAGCAGATAACAACCTCAGAAGGATTTACTTGTTGGAAACAAATATGGATTAATACAGCAAAAGACAAGTCATCAAATAGGCCATCTATGAAGGATCTAAGACGAGAGAGAAAGATCGTGCCCCCATATTTGCCAACCACATTAAACCCGCGAATAATTTTGACTTGTGAATCTGCACAAGTGACCATAAGCTTACTTGGGTCTCGTGGGAAAAACTATAATCGAATAACATGAAAGTATGAAGAGCTGTACATTTAGTTGAATAAAAAATGAATTTGTAATAAATAGATGCACCATTGCATGTGAAAAATGATTAAAGATACCTGGAAGCCAATTATCCTTTTGCATGGTGCCTTTTTCTTGCTGTGTAAATCTATCCGAGCATCTAGCTGAAAATGGCCATCTGATACAAGCAAAGCACAGACCAATTCGTTAATCTAAGTTTTCTATGGAATTCATGAGATTTTGAAACAATTTACAATCTGTTATATAGGACATTCCAACCGAAGTATTGCAAGTCAACTATTGAGATCTAAAAGTACTGACTTTTAATTTCTTTTCAAAATTAGAGAGCTAATAGGAACATGTCCACTCCTTTTAGCCAAAATCCATAACGCATTATCAAAACATCTCCACTGGGACGACAATATGAAAACTGAAAACCCTTTCCACTTTGGTCCGGTACAAGACCTTGTTTACAAAAAGTGTAACCCAACCAAACTAAGCCTTGTGTCCCAATCATGTTGGGTCGGCTACATGAATCTTTTATTGCCATTCAGCCATAAAGGGCTATATGCATATTAGGATTCATTTTCATAAGGGATCTGACCGGGATTTTATGTGTTGGCTGTCAAGCTAGCTAACACAACCCTACTCCTTTATCCCGACTTGGGACCAGCTGTATAAAAGATTAAACACTAAGCATAACACATGCCACAAGTATATTCAAACAAAATTGCATGCCACAATAACACTAGTATTTGAGCTTGGGAACTCCACATACCACAACCATGCAACTCGATACTCATATTAAAGTATTAAACCAAGTCGTCCTATACCCAGAAAACTAACTAGACCACAATCCATACGAGACACATTTGTTTGGGCAGACATGGCCTTGGAATTGGACTAATAATCCAACAAAATGCATAATCTAACGTTTGGCTAAGAAAATTGGGGTCCGGACTAATATCCATCCAACATAGTATATCCCCCCCATATGGGGACATTATTGAATCCCAAGAGGGGGTGGGATACAAAATGCAGGACTAAGAAGAGATTCATACTAATTAGTTAAATTGCAAAATTATGATAATATTTTCTCAATCCCTCCTTGTAATCCCAATACAATCCAATCATGGGATAGGATATAGAAAAGATAAAAGGCAAAAACAAGCAAAATGAACGTACATGTTGTGACAAACTAAACAATAAGTCATAAGTGTTCAGATATTAACCAAGCATTACACCAAAAACTGCTAAAAGAACCCCACAGTGATAAGCTTTCTTTGCAATGCACAATAGCACAAGGGTCAAAACATCAATCAACCCCCATGCACACACTAAAAGAGAAATTATATTAATACCAATTGCCTTAATAGTATTTTAATTTACCTGATATGTCATAAAAGTGGCAAGTGCCTTTCATGGAGCCAACAATCACACCCTGTATGACAGATAAGGAAACTGTTCAATTGAAATGTCTTTCAGTTTCTAAGATTACAGCCTCAACTGAACAAGATGCAAAGACAAGACAATCGCCAAACCTTCCCATTATGGCGATAGCACACAGCAGTGATAATATCTTTTACATATGTCCAATTAACAACTTGGCAACTAGTAATTGCCCAAATCCAAACTTTTCTATCTATTGAACCACTGATAAACTGATTATTGTCCACAAGATTAAACTGAACACATGTCACTACATGACACAAGAATATGATGAAAAAAGTAACTAATTACTATGTAAAATAATAAGTAATTTAATAAAACTCTGCATGATCCACTAATCAGAACTATCTAAGGAAGAAAAACACAAACAGCAAGAGCCGCACGGTAATTACTATGTAAAAAAACTTTAAGGCAATGCTCACATCTGACTTGCCATAAACGAACAGTTTCATCAATTGATGATGAGAGAAGGCACTTCAACAAGAACAGAAATAATTAAAATTCAATTTAATATCTGCTAAGTTTGGGAAAACTTAACTACTTTACAATTAATAACTTACATTAGTCTTCGACCATGAGAGATCTAAGATGTCATCATCGTTCCCATTGAACTGATATAGTGGCTTCTCCAATATCCGAAAGACCCTCGGCGGGAAGATGACAAAAGCTGAGTCTGCCATTTTTTTTAGGCTCTTCAATTTATCCAATTTCTCTTTCTACGCGATTACGGGTGAAAGCTCAAAAAGATGATTCATTGTGAAATAAATGCATGAAGGATTGATGTTTGGAATGTCAATTTCATTTTATCTTGGATCTTCCACCACTTGCCAAACACGAACAATATGATCTTTACCAGCAGTCGCAAGGAACTGCCTATCAAGACTAAATTTCATTGTCAAAATTGAACCTTCATGGGCTTGGTTATTTTGTCCCATAAATAGAGCAGAGAGTTCCTTACATTGCTTTCTGGAATGGCGAACCTTAACCCTCCGAACCCTAGCCCCCTGAATGGGTCCTAAATTATTAGTTACCCCTTGCCTATCATCTACCACACATGTCATGGACCGTAATCTATTCAGCCACCAGTTCTTAACCCTATTCATTGTCCTCGCTAAATTGCTATTAACCACAGTTTCTCTCTGTTTATGTTGCTGAACTACCGGAGATGAACCAATAGTGTTCTCAAGCTCTTCAGGTATCACCAATTGGTCCAAACCCAATACTTTATATTTATTTTTCTTCCTTTCCTTCCCCAATTCCTGTGCACTATACTCTATTCCATCTCCCAAATTCCCAATTATGTTCTTGAATGTGACCCTCTTTGAAGCTAAACAGGAAATTAAACTAAATAAATAATATAAACGCTAGAGCAAGAGTGACAAAATGGGAAGATAGAGGAAGGGGAAAAGAGAGAGAGAGAGAGAGAGAGAGAGAACATATTCGTATTGCGGCGGTGGCGGTGTGATTTGCGGCAGTGTGGTGGCGATGTGCGTCTTACAGTAAGCAACGGCGGTGAACGACTGCAGCGAGGTGAGGTTTGGTGGTGACTTACAAGAAATTGCACTTTTGGCAACTACTTTTGGTAACGACGTTAATTTTTCGTAGCCAAAACTATATTTTTGGCGACGCAGTGATCAATTTCATTGGTAAAAGTAGACCTTTACCGATGCAATTTACAGCCGTCGCTAAAAAAGTATAACATTCATTAGGCGCTAAAATTATTGGTTGGCGCCAAAATTTTAAAAATTTTAGCTACGAGGCTTATTTTTTAGCAACACAATAAGCGTCGCTATTAGTTGTGGACGCGCCCTCGGGCTTTATGCCACCACAGTTCGGACTCCCTTTTGTGTCACGGTTCTTAATCTGAACCAAAGAGTCCAAATCCGGCAAATCATTTTTTTGAAAAACAGATTTTTGTAAAGAAGTGCCAAACATGGACTGCTTTGCCAAATACAGAGTCACCACCTAAATATTTTTTAATGGGAGAATTTAGGAAACCCTGACTCGTTTGCCTAAGGCCACGTGTCCGTCATTACCAAAGTTGCCTCGGCTCGGGAACTTGGGTAAGATTGGGGAAGGTCAGCTATGAGCACCCCCTCTCGCCCGATCCGAAGATCGGCCTCTACTAACCATGATATCCAATTTTGAAAACGTTATGTGTTCTTATTCCGGTTTAATTAGCTAGAATTACTATGTGATGCGTACAGCAAAACAAGTATAGACTAGATCACCTAATTTGTAACAAATCATCGCATATCCGTTTGTTTGGAAAATGTTTTGAAATTTGCTACTCACGAGTAGGCTAAAACACGGATTTTGATGAGTTGTTCCAACTCAAGCAATCCAACCTTCACCCACAGGCATTCAGGCAGTTCATGTCACATAAGCATCTAGCCACATGGTAAGCATGCTGTCATGTTAACATTCACACTCGTGCGAGATACTAAAGCACAAAATACTTACAGTGTACTCCAAGCCAAAAAAAAGAACTCGTTAGCAATCAATGTATGATCCAAGTCCATGTTAAGTGCCTAATGCAGCGCACACAGAATGCAATTAGGATAGGCTCGGCTAATCCTAGGATGGCATGTGAAATACAACCATTTGATGCACATATTCAAGTTTAGATATGAAATACTATGCAGTTAGTATGATGCGCCGAGCCCGATGCATGCAATACTGACGAATGATGCACGCATGCATAGCATAAGGATGCTAAATTGAATATGTCGTAGTACTAACCATCAAAGTAGGTAAGTAAAAGGGAGAAAGAAGTGGGGGTCGGAAGACATGCACACACGTACCCACACTTATTACAAATTTGCCCTCGCTCGGAGGGACTAAAAGAATAATACAGATTTAACTAACCTACAAGCTAATTAAATATTACAGACCAATTAAACTAGTTAAGCAAATTAACTAATCTAATAAAACAGTAAACAGCCTCGGGAAGAGGGCCTAATGCAATGCGTGCTCGGCTCCGCTCGGAAGCCCACTGCCATGCACAAGTTGCCTCTGTCCACACTGTTTTCCTTCTTTGATCATTGCAAAATTCCCAAGGTGCACTCTATGAACCCTGTGGGATATCACCGGCCCAGGGAAATGGTCACCGGCCAAAGGAAATGATCATCGGCCACTGGTTAAGCTATCGACCACCAATTTTTGGTCGGTCGGCACTAAAGATGGCCGGCCGGCCAAATCTTCCTACAGAATCCTGTTTTGACAGCAGCAGAGGGCAAAACAAGGCATGGCAATGCATTCCAAGCAAATGTGTGCACCAACACATCTCTTATCATGTTTATGACTCAAATGGACATGGTTCTCGGTTCTCGGACCACCAATCGCGCATTTCGATGCGTGATGGCCCAAGAAACCAAGTTATGCACTTTGATTTCAAATGAAATGCACATAAACAAGCAAGGAGCTCAACCTCTGTCATACTCAATTCAAGAGGCTAAGCATGCATGTCAATGCAATGCAACCTAGACGTATGAGCTAGTATGCAACATGATTTTTTTTTTTTTTTTTTTTTAACTGGAAAATCCTTCCTATCCTTCCGCAGGTCTAAGGCAGCGCCCATTGCAGAGATCACCAGGGTGACCCAAGGTGAGCATGCAACAACATGCGAACTATGGACTTAAACTAATTTGGGCAGCTCTATACTAAGCCCAAAACAGTGGCCAATATGCTCAAGAATGAAGGCAAAATGACATGCAAACATGCATGCACACAAGGACTAACACTTAGGCATATAGAAACAACTCTCAAGCACACTTAAGAGGATGCAAACATGGACAAATGGCATGCATTATAAGCTCTGAAAGTCATGTTAGAGAAGGTGCCAAACCAATCTACAATGCAAGCTAGGCATGCCACCAAGCCCAAGGACTTAAACCATGGCCATATGACATATGAAGCAAATGACCAAAATGAACTAAAACAGTCCTAAATCATGCAAAAGTAAGCCCCAAAAACCACTTAGATGGCATCTAAATGATCTAATCCTAGAGGCATACACAATGGCACAAACATGGAGCAAGAAACACCAACCTTTTAAAGCATGAAAGGGGCATCAAATGCAAGCATACGAGCATATCATGAGGACTGAAATGACATGACAAGTGGTTCCAAACCACTGAAATGATGCAAGGATGGCATGCTAGAGGGGTCAATGCTTAAGGCATACAAGAGAGGTTACATAGTAGCTATACAAAGCAAAGCATGGACAACCCAAATGACCAAAAACAGACCTTTAGCATGCTAAAACAAGCATAAAAACTTCACAAAGCTAAGCCAAAAGCATGCTAGAAACAAGGCTCAAAGCACAAGGCATGTTAAGGCAATTCATGGCATTACAAGACATGTATGCTAAGCAAGCATGGTGTACCTAAACCAACTCACAACCATGCTATATCATGGCAACATAAGCGTGAAAAACAGTTAAGGCATGACCAATATACACTTAAACAAGGTGCTCACTAATGAGGCTTAAATGACCATTATTGAAGACAACAAGGAGAGAGGGTGGCCCTCTCCTTCTTGGGACCTTAAACCACCATCCTCACCACTGAAATCCCTCAAGATTTTAGTGGTGAGGAGGTCCAAACAAGGTGGTCCCAGAGCTCACAAAAATGGCACAAAATGGGGGCCAAACAAGGCCTAAGAGGGGTCAAACAACCCCAAAGCTCAAAACACTCTTAAACAACTATTTAGAGCAAGCAAAAACAAGACTTTTATATGCTATACACAAAGTCTAAAAACAATTGCAAGATAGGTGAAAAAGCTATGCAAAAATGAGAAAAAAGGGGTAAGATTGTTACCCTTGTAGACCCTCTTCAAAAATGGAAGACCAGCAGCTTCCTCAAGCTCAAAACCACCCAAAAACACCAAGAACAACCTTCTGGTCCCTCAGCAACCAAGAGAAGGTGTAGGACTAGGTGTTTGTGTGCAATAGTAAGACTAAACACACACACAAGGCAAAAAGAGAGAGAGATATATATAGATGGAATAGATACAAACTCAAACCCTAATCTCAGAGCTCTTCTCTGGACTTTTTTGTGTGTAACCCTAGTGGAGGGAGAAGAGGCTTCCTCTTATAGACAATCCCTCTTGCAAAGCTTCCAAAGTAAGCTAGTCAAGAGGGAAATCCCTCTATACACGTGTATGGAGGGGAGCAGAGTGTATGCCAGCTAGCACAGCTGGCAAAAAAATATCTGCAAAAGCAGATGAACAGTGGTCGGCCAGCCAAAAATGCAATTCGACCAAAATAGATGGCCGGTCGACCATCCAGAGTGCGGTCTGCCAAACATTTAGCCGATGGCAACAAAACACAGTCGGTGGCCTCATGCCATGGCCGGTTGAGTACGGGAATGGCCAACAAGCCATTCCGTGCCCTCCAAAGCCAAAACACAAGTGTTTGGTGCAAACCCAAACACAAAACAGTCGAGTCGAGAGATCTTGAGGCAAGGCGCGTAGCCGAGACCTTTCGGGAACTCAAGACGAACACAAACAAGGATGATCACCGAGTGTTCAAACGGTGACGTCCAAGTCTGGAGGACGGTCAAAAATGGGGTGTCTACAGTTGCCCCTCTTTGACAGAACTCGAAAGTTATAAGAATGACGGGAGTGGGTGTCAAAGCCCAGAGACAACCCATTTTTGACAAGGTCGAAGACTTTGACAAAGCATGCAAGACAATAAAGATATGCCCATGAAGGCAGGGGCAAAATGCAACTGATAATGCAAGAAGCCGAACATAACTTATGATCATGCAAAGAAAGCTGTAACGAAGCATAACATGCAACAGTTTTAAGCTAGCATACATCAATCCAACTACACTACAATGCAGAAAGGATATAAGAGAATTATGAAATTCTCGATACGTCTCACTCGGAGAATACAATACCTGCGCGGTTCGTCTGGTTGCACCAGCTTCAAATGAACCGTACATACAATATCATGCCTGTAAAAGAAAGCAACTTAACAGGTATAATATTGTTAGCAACATGCATGACAATGCAAAATGATATGCAGTATATACAAAACTATGTCTAAACAATGCAAATGATAATGTAATGCAATTGAATCATAATTGAACCACGAGCGGTACAAAACCACAAAAACGTCAAAGAGATGATGGAGATGCAAAGTCCGTCTACCATAGAAAAGGTGCTACAACCCTCAAACCAACATACCAGCGTGGAATAGGTGCGTACACATGCAGAACTATGAGTGATGTAGACGGACACAAGAACAAGTAGTTGGGTGGAATGACATAAGTGAGGCATGCTCGGCTCAGAAAAGATTATGATCCTAATGTTGGATGCAATCGAACTACATTACAATGCAGTATATACAGTGGATATGGCGTGCGACCGAAACATATCTTGGCTAGGAAAGGCATGTACACATGCAAACCGC